ACACAACCTTAATTAAAATTTTAGCAGACTTTTTACATAGAAGCTGACAAGGTGATCCTCAAAATTATATTGAAATGTTGAGGATCTAAAATAATCAAGACAAAAACTTGAAGAACAAAGTTAAATACCTTAATTATCTGATTTTAAGACAATACTATAAGCTACAGTGATTGAGACAGTATAGTATTGGAATAAGGATAGACAAATAGAAAATCTAGAAATAGACTAGTATAGTGAGTTGATTTTTGACTGAATTGCCAAATGCCAAAGCTGGAAGGAAAGTCTTTTAATTTCATAGTTCTAGTACAAGTGGATATTTGTTTGGAAAAAAATGAGCTTTGACCCCTATGTTGCACTGTAAACAAAAACATTTATTTCATGTGGATTAATTATGGCCCTAAATTTGAAAAATAAAAAACATAGAATATCTTCATGACCTTAGGATCATTAATCATAAAAGATAAAATTGATAAATTAGATTAATTGATAAATGAAAAAATTCTCGTCAAAAGGCAACCTACAGATTGGGAGAAAATATTTGTACTACATATATCTGATAAAAGGCTTGCATGCACTGTAATCCTAGCACTCTGGGAGGCTAAAGTGGGTGGATAGCTCAAGGTCAGGAGTTTGAGACCAGCCTGAGCAAGAGTGAGACCCCGTCTCTACTAAAAATAGAAAGAAATTATCTGGATAACTAAATATATATATATAGAAAAAATTAGCCGGGCATGGTGGCACATGCCTGTATGTAGTCCGCACTACTCAGGAGGCTGAGGCAGTAGGATCGCTTGAGGCCAGGAGTTTGAGGTTGCTATGAGCTAGGCTGAAGCCACGGTACTCTACCCCAGGCAACAGAGTGAGACTCTTGTCTCAAAAAAAAAAAAAAAAAAGGCTTGCATGCAGAATACATTAAAGAATTCATACAAATTAGTGATGCCACAACAAAATCGGTTTTTGAAAATGGGCAAAACTGTGAGTAGGCCCTTCACTAAAGGATTTATTAGAATGGTCAGTAAACATCTGAAAGAGTATACAACATCATTAGGGAAATACATATTAAGACCACAGTGAGACACCACTGCATACTCAGCATAATGACTAAGAGTTAAAAAGATTGACAAGACCAAGTGTTGATGAGGTGGAACAACTGGAACCCTCGTACACTCTGAGTGAGACTATAAAAGTCTATATATTGTCTCTCAGTTCCCCTGCCTACTTAAACTAGGGCAAGATTGAGTGCAGTGGTGCTCAAATTCAAATGGCTAAAAATTCATGGTGCTATTTGTGGAGCTCTGGACATATAGTGATATATGATAGCGTGATAGCCAAGTGTGCTAAGCAGGACTTTTGGTTGCAAATGACCCAACTTGGTCTTACTTAAACCAAAAGATGAATACATTGGTTCATGGGTGGGCTGTTGTCAGGCTCACTTAAAAACAAGTATATAAATGATGTCTGCAGGAATTGCCTCTTTGCTTTCCTCTGGGATAGCTTAGCCTTCAGACAGATTTTGGTCACAGCGGCTACATGTAGCTTCAGGGTTGTAACCTATCAGTATTGCAACCCCCATTACTAAACCCTATTCCTAGAATTGTCTTTGATTTGTTCACCCCAAAACCAAACACCAGAATCATTGTGAGGCCTAGGTCAGGTATACCCTTGAACTGAAAGTGAGGGTGCAGTGGTTGCTCTCTCATAAAGAAAGTATGTGACAAAAGGTGTGGGGAATGGAAGCTAGTCTTGCAAAACAGCATATTTTCACAACATTAATTCCTTGGTAGCTGTTATGTCCCATGTCTTTGCTAGTTCCTGGGGACATGAAGGTTAATTGTGAATAGAGAGCAAATTTGTGGGCCGGTATTGAAAACTTGATATGTATGGCCTCGTTTAGTTTTTGTTGTTGGTTTTATTCTTATTCTCTTACAAGCACGTAGTACTCCGAGTACTTGACTTTCTAGTAGTGCCCATCCTTGTCCTTGGATTACCATTATTGTTTCTTCCCTCAGTGCCCTACGTCTAGAATATGTGATTCCTTTACACTTCAGCATATTTCATTTCTACACCTCTTTCAAGGTCTCGCTCAAATACCATCTTTTTCAGAAATCCTCTCTGAGATTCTTTGATCCACCTTAGTTTTTCTTCTTTGCTTTTAAGCCATTATTCTATTCATAGCTTATTTTAGCTCTAAATATCCTTGCAGCACCTGGCAGAGTGTTGGGCAAACAGTAGGCTTAATAAACAATGAACAGTTATTGCTGCACTCTTGATTTGGGGGGAATTATCTATTCCTTTAATTGTCCGGCAGTACCAGATACTTCTCCCATCCAAGTACTAACCAGGCCCGACCCTGCTTAGCTTCCGAGATTAGACGAGATTGGGCGTGTTCAGGGTGGTTTAACCATAGACCCAGATACTTCTAAGTTGGCCTTTACTTTAGAAAATTGTGTTGGTATACTTGCAAGTTACTTAGGAGTAACTTACTGCTCCCCAATTATTGCTTTATTTTTTTTTTTTTTTTTTAAAGACAGTCTGGCTCTGTCACCCTAGCTAGAGTACACTGTTGTCATCATAGCTCACTGCAACCTCAAACTTCTGGGCTCAAGCAGTCCTCCTGCCTCAGCCTCATGAGTAGCTGGGACTACAGGTGTGCACCACAATGCCCAGCTAATTTTTTCTGTTTTTGGTAGAGACAGGGTCTTGTTCTTGCTCAGGCTGGTCTCGAACTCTTGACCTCAGGTGATCTTCCCACCTCAGCCCCCCAGAGTGCTAGGGTATAGTCGTGAGCCAGCGTCCATGGCCCCCAGTTACTGTTTAATGTAGCTCCATCACCCGTTATCTGGTATGCTCATGTTTCTTACACAAATGCAGTCAGAATAGTATTGTTGAGGTCACAATCATGGCTGTGTATAAGTCTTTTCTTTAAATATCCATTTTTGCTACATGCAGAAATACTCCTTTTTTCCCCCAATTCATTGATCATTTATTGGTACACATCTAGTAGAGCAGTGATTCTTAAACTTCAGTAGAGTCACCTTGGAAGGCTTTTTAACACTTGAGTCGTGAGGCTCCACCCCAAGAATTTCTGATTCACTAGGTTTGGGGTTGGCTGAATAATTTGCATTTCTAACAAGTACTCAGGTGATACTAATGATGCTGATCAGGAAACAGGCTTTGAGGACCAGTTTACTAGTGGGTTTAATGCTCACACATCAAAATCACCTGAGGAAGCCCCCCCACTCCCCTACTTAATTTTCAGAACTGGTCTTTGTCCAGTTAAGTAAAAGTGTTTGGAAGCTCTGCTAAAGCATGGTGTTAGCAGGATTTTATGAGCATTTCTAACAGAATCAGCTCCATAACAAATGTGGACAAAATTTTTTTACTCCACATCTCCATAGCACCTGTGCGATGAATATGAACGGTGGCAGGATTGGCCAACTGTGTGGTTTGGTGGTTTTAGTTCACATAAATCTGTATTCCATCAGTAACTCACTCTTTGGGGTCTTGGCCAATTTCTTTAAGTGCTTCCTGCAGATTGTTTATTAATTGTAAGGGATAAATAGTAGCTATACAGTGCAGAAATTGACTATCACTTTGACTGGGTGATCAAAATTACCATTACCAAAGAGGGAAAGATGGATATCATGTCTCTCCAGATACCATACTTTTAGAAAGACACAGCGTCACTTACATAATAGTCTGATTGGTCATACTTGAATGGAATCTATCTAATTATAAGGAATCAGACAAATCCAAAATGAGACGCATTCTATTTTTTTCCGAAAGGACCTATATTATTCTTAAATAGCAATATCATAAAAGATAAAGATTGAGGAAACTATTCCAGATTAAAGGAAATTAAAGAGACGTGATAGCTAAATGCAATATATGATCCTAAGCTGGGTCCTGTACTGAAGGGAAGAAGTGCTGTAGAGGTGCAGTCTCGAACCCCTGGCCTGCGGACCCGTACTGGTCTCTGGCCTGTCAGGAACTAGTCACAGCAGGAGATGAGCAGCAGGCAAGCAAGCAAAGCTCCATCTGTATTGATAACCACTCCCCATCACTCGCATCACCACGTAAGTTCCGCCTCCTGTCAGATCAGCGGCAGCATTAGGTTCTCATAAAGAGTGCACAACATAGATCTCTCGCACGTGCATTTTATAGTAGGGTTCACACTCCCATGAGAATCTAATGCCTGATGATCTGAGGTGGAGCTGAGGGGGTGATGCTAGTGCTGGGGAGCGGCTGCAGATACAGATTATCATTAGCAGAGAGGTTTGCACAATAAATGTAATGCACTTGAATCGTCCTGAAACCACCCCCTCACCTCCAACCCCGTCTGGGGAAAAATTGTCTTCAATGAAACTGATCTCTGGTGCCAAAAAGGTTGGGGACCACTGCAGTAGAGGACAGGATTAGGTCATGTGACAAATTGGACTATGGAGAGGTAAAATAATGTATAATAGTGCAACTTAATATTAAATGGATCAGAAAAATATATATGAGAGATAGAGCAAATGGGGTGTAGATACAGGTGTTGTTTGCAACTTTGAGATTATTCCCGAATTAAACATTTAAAAAAAAAAAACCAGACACCCTCTGCTCTTCATTTCAGGGTAGTTGAAAAGATTTTTTAACACCTACCTAAAAATGTTTTGGAAAAACAGTGTTTTACAAATGCTGGCTCATATGCTGCTTAGTCTAGGTAGCCTCAAAGCTCATGTTCTCAGCTAGCTTATTAGCTCTAGGGAGCTTGCAGGAGGTCAGCATCCTCCTGATTTATAATATCCAACCCCCAGTAGGGCAGCTTCTTGAGTGTCTTGTGTAGTGCTTCAGACACACGAAGTATAAAATTCATCATTCTATCTAAAATTCATTCTATCATAGTAGCAAATTTTAGTTCAGTTTTAACTGGCTAAACTAATGTGTGATTCACTTGATCATAGTCTGTCATTATATATTGTACCTTTTAGCTTTGAAAAAAAAGATTTCTCTTTCAGCCCAAAATGGAGTTAATCCTGAGTGGGAGAAGAAAGTAATTGAATATTTCAAGGAAAAGCTGAAGGAAAATAATGCTCCTAAATGGGTAAGCTTATTGCTGTTTTGGGGGAGAGGGTTGGGCAGGCTATAGTTTCTCTCAGTAGAGTAGTAACCCACATGTAATTAAAAAATATGTAAATTACTGTGTACTTCTGCTTTTAAGTACATTGTGTAATATTAAAAGATTTTGGTCTCTTTTGCAACTTAAGTTCAAACAGTTAAATGCTTCTATATTGTGCCTCTAGGTGGCAGTAAATGACCACATTACTTCTTAAGACAAATCTTAAATTGCGAGACCTTTGATTATCTTCATTTTAAAAGAATTGGCATGTACTATTTTTAAGGGAAGAGCTCAACAGAGTAAATGCCTTTTTGCTAACTGAAAAGTATATTCTGAAGGAAAAGCATCCTTTTACATTATGGTCAAATGTTATCTTACAAACTTGTAAGAACTTGGAAAGTACTTTTGTCCCAATAGTTATGTTGACCATTGAGACTGTGTGGCTCGCTAATGGAGCCAGTGATGTGTGTGTGTGTGTGTGTGTGTGTGTGTGTGTGTGTGTGTGTGTGTGTGTGTGTGTGTGTAGCAGTTTGAGTCTATTATATATGCTTAATGTTTTTTATATACAGGATATTTTGTTGACTTATTTGTTTTCCTTTAAGGTACCATCATTGAATGAAGTTCCCCTTCATTATTTGAAACCTAACAGTTTTGTGAAATTTCGTTGCATGATTCAGGATATGTTTGACCCTGAGTTTTACATGGGAGTTTATGAAACGGTTAACCAAAACACAAAAGCACGCGTATGTATTGCTTTTTTATAAAACTTTCTGCTTATAATTTTTGGTATTAACTTTGTTCTTTGTTTATGGTATTGTTGGTTCTGGTATATTGATATAATACTGTTATCCTATATTTTGGGTCATAGGTTCTTCATTTTGGAAAATACAGAGATGTAGCAGAGTGTGGGGTATGTATCTTTAAGATATATAAAACATTTTTAATAAGAATTTTTTCATAAGCAGAGAATTTATTCATTTGATCTTAAATTTATCTTGTGTATAAGTAAGTTTTAAGAAATCATGTGAAATGTTTTCTTTATTTGGCTTTAAGATTTTTTCTGATATGATTTTTTTTATCTTCTGAAGATCTTTTAGAAGAGGGAATATTGTAAATGATAAAATTAATTTCTTTTTCTAATATCTATATACTTGGTTAAAAAATTCACAGGTTATGATCAATTCTTTTAAAATGAAAGTAGGCCAAACATGGTGGCTTATGCCTATAATCCCAGCACTTTGGGTGGCCAAGGTGGGAGGATCGCTTGAGGCCAGGAGTTTGAGACCCCATCTCTACAAAAAATAAAAAAGTTGGCCAGGCGGGCCTGATGGCTCACGCCTGTAATCCTAGCACTCTGGGAGGCCAAGGTGGGTGGATTGTTTGAGCTCAGGAGTTCGAGACCAGCCTGAGCAAGAGCGAGATCCCATCTCTACAACAAATAGAAAAAAAATAGTAAAAACGATTATATCAACATGTCAAAATAAATGTTATTACCAAAAATGTCTCCCATAGTTTGCTCTTTGTTTTTCATGTGTTTCTGTTGAAACACAGACCCTGATTTTCAAGTGTTGAAAAGAAAACAAGTACCACAGGTGGAGATTGACTAGGCAGGGGCCCAGTAGAAAAGTGGGACCTCTGTGGAGTTACCTACATTCTGGGTCTAGTTCTCTGCTTTGTGAATCCAGAATCTTAGTTTATCAGGTTATCTGGTCCTTGGAATCTAATTCCTGCTTACTGAAACCTCAAGAGGTGAATATATCAAACCCTTATATTAGCCTGTTAAATTCACAGTAAAAGTTGTTCCTGATTGAATAAAGTATTCTAGATCAGTGGGCAGATCTGGACAGAAGAACAGCCCTAATTTGGAAGGTTATTGCAAAGATTATATTAAAACAAAAATGTAACTTCTAACAATTATTTAGAGTAATGAACTTGTTTGAAAGATGGCACTTCAGGTCTCCCAATGTCTTTTTTCTTTTAGAGTGTTTCCATAAGATAAATATTGTTCCAGGCCTAATGAATCAACTTTATAAATACTTACTGTATCCTTTATTTAAGGAACCCTAATACATTAGGGTAATATATTAATACATAAGTTTTTCTAGTATACAATAATGTAATATAGCTCAGTAATCTCAGCATTTGAAAATGGGCCAGTGAAATAGATGAGACTGTCCATTTGTAACACTACCAAAGGCTAAGACAGAGTTTATATTAGGTCATTAAATATGAAATGTCTGATTTCAAATCAAAAATCTAGTTTATTGTATCTCAAACAAGCAGTACATTAAGCAAAGTATGCACCTAAACTGGTGACACAGTTTTGCCATCTTAACAGTAGCTTGTTTATGCCAGTAGCAAAGAAGCCTGGAGAGCAAGAGACAATGAAATCGTGAAAGGTGTTTTCCACAGCTTGTCAAGAATTGAATATTTTTCCTTGGAAGAAGTGGTCCAAAGCCTGGAAGACATGGTAATCAGTTGATGCAAGATGATGCAAGGTCCAGTGACTATGGTGGATGACAGAGAATTTCCAAGTCCAGCTTCTATAGCTTGAGCAGCATTGTTCATGCAACTTGTGGTTGAGCATTGTCTTGCAAGAGGATTGGGCTGTCTCTGTTGTCCAATTGCAGCTTCTTCATCATGAGCATCCTCATCATTTCATCCAGTTGATTGTGCAGACATACATTGTAATCGAGTGACCAGGTTTTGTGAAGCTGTAGTGGATAATACCAGTGCCAGAGCACCAAACAAACACCGTTAGCTTTTTTTGATGAATATTCGGTTTGGGACTGTTTTGGCATTTCATCTTTATCCAACAATTGGGCCAAACGCTTGCGATTATCAGAAGAATCCATTTTTCATCACACATAACAATATGGTGTAGAAATGGTTCATCTTTATGTCGTGACAGCAAGAAAGGCAAGCTGAGAGACAATTTCTGTGCTGATGCTTGTTTAATTTGCATGTATCCAGCTGCTTTACCTTGCCGATTTGTTTCAAAGGGTCCAAAAATATTGGTCCAATATTGGTCCAACTGGACCGATATTTTTGGACCATTTGATCAAACCTTGCTGCTAATGCACCTGTGGATTGAGATAGATTTGCTTCCACTGTAGCTTTCAACTCATCATTATCCACCTTGGTCTCAGGTCACCCATGTGGCTCATTTTCAAGATGAAAATCACCGGAACAGAACTTCTCAAGCCATCAATGTACTGTATGTTCATTAAACACATCCTTCACAAACACTTCATTGATGTTTCAAGCTGTCTGAGCTGCACTGGTTCCAATGATGGAACTTGTTGGAAAATAACACGAATTTTTGACTTACCCACGGTTTCACAAAAATCGCTCTAAAAAAACCTTGAAAGATAATCACAAGCCACAATGTACATTTGCAGACTGAGGATATACCTTCACAATAAAATAAGTGTCAAAGTGAAATGTCAGAGATATCAACTGTCAAACTTAGTCGTTAAGGGAATCAGACTTTTCATACTTAATAACCTATACCTATGTTGCTAAAGAGTTAAGAATAAAAGCCCCATTTCAGGAAAAGGGGAACTTGAGCCTGGACAGAGGGAAGCAAACAAAAATCCCAGCTTGTATACATTATCTCAGGCTCAAACTTGATATCTCTTAGACCCTTTCTTCCTCTTAGGGTTTTCTATGTATATTTGAAATAAAGAATATGCCTTTCCTAAGGAATAATATCTGACTTTTAAATCTCATCTAGAGCTACCTAATAAGGAATATAGGTCATTAAATTCCTGTATTGTAATAGGCTAATTCTGATACTTTTCTATAAAAGAGGCCATGGGATTGCCATGTGCTTTGTCTTTGAAAGGATTAAAAAGGATTTAATTTTGTAACCTAAGGTACTGTGTATTATGGATTTGAGGGAGAGGTAGCATTTTGATTATTGCATTTGAAATGATTTTACATCAGTTTTCTTTTAGAAATGTTAATTAGGAGTTGCTTGTTAATTAAATTAACTC